GTAGTCAAATTTAGGTTTTATGGTTAACTATTTTGAACTTTAAAGGTAAGAAGGTAGAGCTCTTCCGGAAACCGTGAACCCTTGATTTCATTTAGCAGGTTTTTGATATTTATAACTCCCTAGGGATTATTTATTACCTTTCTGCATTGATTAATTTGTTTTTTATTGATTTGATTGACTTTAAGTCGAAGATTAAGAGTTAATTTTATTTTGACTTCTACATTTATAATATATAAATAAATATAAATATAAATAAATAATTCTCATCGTAGGTATATATTTAATTGTTTTTGAATTTCAATCTTTTCATATAGGTACCTATTTAAATTAAGTTTTGCTTCCCGTAAGCTGTTCAATTTTTTTAATTAAAATTGGATACTGAACAAAAATCATCTTTGAACAATTTATTTGTTTCAATGTTAATGAACAGAAAGTTCGCCATCCGGTCAACAAATTGTTAATGAACAACAAGTTCGTCATCTGGTCAATAAATTATTGTTTTTAGAATTCCAAAGCTTGTGTTTTTATTGAAGGGGTTGATTGTCAGATAGGTATTGGATTTATTTTACCTTTTCAGATTTTTGAATTTATCTTTCTAAATAATAGCTAATTATTTGAATAGTGTCTAGTTTGGCTATTCATTGATAATGAAAATAATTTTATACAAACTAGTGGCGCCCTATCTTTACTGTACCAACACCAAGGACCACCCCAAGCTAAAGAACCACTGAGCATAGTCGAGCACAATTATGAGCATTCTTTTGTTTCGACAAAAGAGCGTTACAATATAACTCTGTAATATTACGTAAAGATAGGGACAGAGTAAAAAATACTCTTCTGTAACAAAATACAAAAACGGCTGCAATTTATATAATCAGGCAGGTAATGCTCATTGAAATCTTCTTCTTAACCTAATATTCTCTATGTTGGAAATTTCCTCAGATAAATTCAGTCAAAAATTTAAATAATTTGTGGCGGTCGAAGAGTTTTTCTAAAGACTTTAAGAGCAGGCTTATCAAAAGCAGCTGCTGAAAATCTCTTGTTCTTTTTATATCTGGAGCTAATCAGTCTCAGGTTCTTTTTAATTAAACCCATTAGCGTCCAGCGTCCTATTTCGAGGACAGAAGTGAACATTTTTATTTTCTAAATTCTACAAAGCAACAAAATTGATGTTGTTTTGCACTTATTTATTGCTATTGCATGGATCAATCTTCGTCCCAGAAGGTTAAATTGTGATCTGATTTTGACATTAGGCAATCGTCGTTAAAATTAGTGTGTGTTTTTTAGTGTTCTGTTTGCGAGTAATCTTGGGTATCGTGTCTTCTGTTGTATGAATACTTTTTTATTATGAAAAACTCAAAACACATATCTTGAGTTGGGGCATATTACAGGGCTGTACTTTGCTCACAAATAGTTGAAAAATTCCTATGTCCTCAAACGAGGATACTGGGCTTACAATGATATTTTATCTACCAATTTTCGGCATCCATTTTTATTGCAGAACCATCTAAAATGAGCAGGAAACGATAAGTTTTCAATATCCTTGAGGAAGCTATTGAGAATTTATATTCAGAAGAAATCGAAGCTGATACCTTAACATTGCCCCTACAAGTGGTTGAGCTCACGTTATGAAGCGTTATTTGATGACGTGGATCTGGAAAGACCTGTTTTATCAGATCTTGTAAAACAAGCGGAAATAGATTCGCCGTTTGATGATTTCGATAACGATTCTGATGATAATATTTTATTATCAAGGTTTGTCAGACAAAATACTGTTAGCGTCGCATCAAAAGAAATCTTCGGAAGCTTTAGATGATGAGAAAGTCGAAAAAAAATTAAAGAAGCAGTTCGAAGCGAAGAAAATCCATGAAAACTGAAAAGGATCTACCAAAATGGAAAAAAAATCCACAATTTGGTAAATAGGACAATTTTAATGATACCTTGCAAGAAATATTTTCTAATATGGCGACCACTTTATTTTTATGTTAGACAATTTTGAGGATATTCAATGTATTTTTAATCTTTTTGGCTATCACAAGCGAAAAGGATTATTGGTCTGGCGCTGAAGATCTGGGCGTACAATTAGTAGGAAAGCCTATATTTAGGAATAAAGTTATTTCTACATTTGCAAAATAACGCAAATACGAATGCAAATAAACATAATGGGCGTTCAAAATAAGACCTCTTCTTGATGCTTGTACCTCTATATTTTGTAATATTAATTTATGATAACTTCGCTTTATTAGTATTTAAATTTTCTCTTCGATAAAATAATTATAAAATAACTTTTTTTTTTTTTTTTTCATGCCCATCATCGTCCTCATCAGAAATTTAAAAAACCTTCCTAGGCGTCAATTAATTAGTACCCTTTTAAGAGCAAACTCTACAAAACTGATGAAATTAAAAAAGAAAAAAAAAATTGGGCGTTAATGGTCTGGGTCTTTTTAATTAACTCCCTTCCAAAGCCGCTTATTTGCTGAATGAGAGCATTACAAGGACAGGCATCGATGTTTTTGTACCCCCGTGAGTTGATAATAGAATCCCTGCATCGTACTAATTAGCAAAATTCATTAATGAGTTAACAAATATGAGTTCGCCTCTTTTGATCATATTTTTATTCCCAGAATTCCCAGGGTTTAAAGTATATGCTTCAAGTTGGTTAACAAAGTTCAAGACAATAACATGATTGATGAGGTAATCAAGGTAGGTACGGTCAACAACAAAAAAAAAAAAACTGGGAGATTCAAGGTCATTCACTAAATTGAATCACATTATTATGACATTACCTTGAATGTCTCAGTCACGATAAAACTAGCACTATAGCAAATCGAATGTTTGAGTTAATTGAATTGAGCCTAACTATTCGCAAAACGATTTCTCACTATACTATCCAATTAGAAAACTCTTCTTTACTGCACCAAAGATACTTAGAATTTAATGCATTGACGTCGCGAGTTACTCATAGATGCCATTTCAAGCATTCTCTGATTGAGGCGATAATTCTCAACTGTCTGATAAAATACTGATCGGTAATTCGCGAGAATTAGCTTGGCTTAAATTATTTTTCAAGACTATCATCATCGTCAGTATCATCACCAGCTGTTTTGAGTCCACTGCTGAATATAGGCCTTCCCTAAATCATTCCAATTCCTCCGGTCTTGAGCACTTTGCATCCAGTTGGGGTGGACGCACTTAATGTCGTCAGACTATATTGTTGGGAGACGTCCTCGGTTATGATATGCATCGTGCCTATATAGGTCTCCTTTTTCTTAGTTCATCTTACATCCCTGACTCTGCCAACATGACCTGCCCAGTTTCATTTCAGCGTTTTAATTCTTCCAATTGCTTCCGTAACCCCGGTTCTTGCCCTAATGATATGATTTGAAACTTTGTCTCTGAGGGGATATATTCAACATTGATTTCTCCATCTCCATTGCCCTCTGTGCCACTTGGATTTTTTTTTTAAATAACTTTTCTGGTTACTCAATGTTTCTGCTCCATATGTTAGAACTGGAAGCACACATTGATCAAAGTCCTTCCTCTTCAAACACATGGGAATATCTGATTTATAGACATACCTCAGTTTGCCGAAGGCTGCCCATGTCAATCATATTCTGCTGTTCATTTCTGTGGTCTGGTTGTCTTTCCCTAATTTATTCTTGTCGCCTGAATATTTATGAGAATGTGCTTGTTCTATTTGCTTGCGATACGTTGACATGTTTCTGGCAGTACAAGGTTGGTTATGAATCATGTTTTGGAGAAATTGATTCCAAGGCCAACTCATGCACTTTGGAGGTCATGGGGAGAAGCTGACAAGCATGATTTTCCCTGTCTGTAATAAGGACTATGTCGTCTGCAAACCTAAGATTATTTAGATACTCTCCAATGATCTTTACTCCAATATTTTCCTAATTGTTTTTCTTCGTGGCGCTTGTGCAAGCAGTGAATAGTTTAGGAGTCAAGGGAAAATTGTTGGTGTCTCCATGATACATTAACATTAAGATAATAAGACTATAGTTAGAAAGTTTTTCCAGGTAATGATCAACGGGAAATCAGAGACAAGAGTCTCTGTTTGGGCATCGACCCACAGGGGTATTGGCCCTTGGAGTAGTTGTTTCTGACTGGTCATCGAAGTTCAATAAGATTATAGCAGTCGAATACCTCTATTATTCCACAACAATACTTCAGTATCTCATTTAAAGATCTTTGGCACATATTAAGACCCCTTTCCAAAACTTGATAAACACAGGATATTGAAATCGGAAAAAAAATACACGGAATAGGAAATATATGCATGATAATTATGTAGGTAACAAGTCACCGTCAATTCGTCGTAAATCAATCTGTCGTAAGTCAATTCGTCGTACGTCCATTGGTCGCAAAGTCAATTCGTCGTAAAGTCAATTCGTCGTATACGTCAATTCATCGTAAATTCAATTCGTCATTTACGTCAATTGGTAAATTAAGTCAAACATTCCTGTCGGCATGAAAGCAACTGAATCTTATGCATCACTGGTGACTTATGTGGTAGCCAACGTGTTAATAGTTTGCCATTGTAATCAGAAATTATCAAACTTACCAATAATAACCCGGTTAGTTTGCAATAGTTTAACTAACCCAAACTAACCAGGTTATCATCGGTAAGTTTGGTAATGTCTGATTAAACAAGAAAAGTGTAAATTTATACATTTTAACATTATAACTGGAATACGATGTATTGACGTATACGACAAATTACCTATACAACGAATTAGCAATATGACAAATTACGCTACGACGAATTGACTCTGCGACGAATTGACGTGTACTACGAATTGATGTATACGACGAATTGAGTTTACGACGAATTGGTTTTACGTCGAATTGACGTACGACGAATTGACTAACGACGAATTGACGTAGACCCGTAGGTAACAGACTCTGGGCGAAGAGCTATGCGAAAGACGTAGAATATAATATTATAAAATGATAATAATTTGAATATCTTACTTTAAGCTTACCTGTCACAATCCAGATCACTATACAATTTCCACCGGTAGCAATGAAAATCATGGTAGCGAAAACAGTGAACCAAGCTGCTTGAATCCAAGCTGGGAGGTCAGAATTACTTCCTTTTGCAGCGCTCCCCTCCGTTAACGGTCCGTAATCTAGCCCTTCGAAGGATTTGTTGAACAGCCAATCCTGAAAAAAATAATATCAATATTGTTGATATTTTGGGAAATTTTTCATGCACATTTCGCACTACCGCTAACAATACAGTTTAACACGATTCACACACTTTAAGCAAACCCTAAATTTTTCTGCGTATTCGTGAATGCATCGACTTACGTTGGCCACCTAGAACTCCTTCTAAGTACGGCCATACATTACGTAATACGAAAACGATCGTGTCCTTGGATGAAACTTTTTCTAACCTCAAAAAGTTGAATTAGGCATTCCAACGACCTGTCAAAAAGTGCGTTGTGGCGGAAGTTCATTATCCCGTATATGACAGTATGTAATTTAAAGCTTTTTAAAGTGCATTTTGTGGTTGTTTTATGAATGAATTCTGTTTTTTTTTATTTTTTTATTGACTTCATTAGTGTTTCCTCCAATTAAAAATGCCACAAACGGGTCTTGAAGTTGATTGTGGAAGTAGTTTCAACAAGGTAACAAGGATGATGTCAGGCTTTTTTCATTGCCCTTTGTTTTAAAATTTTCCAATTAAAACGTGAAATAAAGCCATTTTCGAAATATTCGTAAGAATCTAAGCTTTTTTAGGCCTTCATTTGCTCATTAATGTGAACTGTGGATCAAAACGTCTGGGACATTTTTTTAAACTAACCGTTTGCCCAGATCCCGATTTTCCTGCATTCAAGTCTTTAAATATTCACTCTGCATCTAAAAAAGTATATTATAACAAAGTAAACTGTAATTAGCTTGAAAATATTTCAAATAAACTCAAGATAAACAAACAAACGTCAAATTTTCCACGGTCGCCATATTGAAAAATCACGTGGTTGGGAGAGCCTAATTTGTAGCTGTGTTTTTAGGTTTTCTTCTAATATCTTATATAGCGGACAACGAAACCCAACGAAACCGCCGTACCTATTTTGTGCATCGATACGGATACGGATACGGATACCTTTGAAATTTAGGACCCGGCCTGCTTAGAGTGTCTAGTGACTTTCAAAAGCTAAAGGTTTGGTGTGCTACAAACCTACTTTGTTTTAATATGACCAAAACAAACATTATTACCTTCGGTTTTGACTTTGCAAATTCGAACCTTGGAAATCAGTCTGGTGCAACTAAATACATCGTGAGATTCTTGAGTTTATGTTGGATGATAAGTTAAATTTTCACCAACAAATTAATGTATTAGGTAACAAGTTGGCAGCTGGTTGCTTAAGTCCAATCAAATGGTAATTTTTTGGTAACATTAAAGCGGTAGAAGGTTTTTCAACAGAATTATATATTTCTTGGGGTGCTGATTACGAATCTGAAGTTTGCTGCCTCGTAGCAGAACCGGCTCAGGCCGAAAATCGCGAAAAACCTCGAAATTTTCGGATTTTTTCCGGTTTTCTGGTCATATCTGGCAAACGACGCATCGTCCGGAAAATGTTAAAGTATTCAAAGTTGAAGACCATAAAATTCTGCGTCGAATGACTACCCTAACCTTGTCACTGTTAAATTAATAAGCTCGCCATTGTCACTCGAAAAAAGGCCAATTTTAATGAATTTTTGGAAAACTGCAATAAACTTAGGTACTTTTAGACGACAGTGATTTCAAAACAACCACTCTACGTAAAAAAATCATTGAAAAAAAGTTGCAGTCAACCAAATATTGAGTTCAGTGAGCACCAAAATTTTAAATTTTGAGCAAAATAATACGGATAAACTGATAATTTCAAATGAAGGGGTCCAATAATAAGAAGTCTGTGCCTGTCAATACTTCACAAACTACACTTGTCAACCCTAAATTACTTCTCCCTCCATTTTTCGTAAGCCTGACTTGAAGATTTTTAACTTTAAAAGTATTATGTATGTAGATGTAACAGGAAGTAATCAGTACCCATTTACAAAAAATATATATATATTTACTCATTTATTACATTTCATTTTACTTTCATTCGTTTTGCTGGCACTCTGGAAGGTCGGGCATAGGGTGTGTAATGGACGATGATAGTCCAGGCTCAGACTCAGGCTCTTCAGTACTCGTGTGGCAGGGTGTGTGGATGTTGATATGTTACAAAATGACACATAAATAAAATTACCTTCTGAAGTCTCACCTTCCTCTGACAATAGTGGAGCGAACGGAGGGTTTTTTTTTTTTTTTTTTTTTTACGGATATGCGCACTCGCAAGGAAATGTCCTATCACGCTCGAGAAGCGGCAAGTGCGCGGAAATGTCGGTGTATGTTGGTCTTGAAACGGTTCAGGTTGTAACCTGCAGGGAAAACCGTCGCAGGGAGTTTATTCCACAGCGATGCTGTTCTCCAGAGATATGAATTCTGATATAATGAGGTTCTCGGTGCCTCTAGTTTGACAGTAAATTCATGGTTACCGTCTGTTTGACGGGTTCGCCTGGTAGGTGCTACTCTCGGTGGAATCATACGTGCCAACTCTTCAGAGCATTTTCCGTGATAGTACCTGTAGAAGAGAGATAAATCGCCCACAGATCTGCGATGTTCGAGACCATCCAAGTTACGAGTAAGTGTGGGGTCATTGATCAGCTTGATAGCTCGTTTTTGCACGGTATTCAAAAGCATTAAGGTATGTTTGGGTGCTGCACTCCATATATGTGAGCAGTACTCCATAGTTGGTCGAATCTGGGCTTTGTAGAGTGTCAGCAATTGGCTTGGTGTGTACAGATGTCTTGTACGAAATAGCACCCCCAGCTTTTGGGAGGCCCTTTTAGCAATATCTGCCACGTGACTGTGCCAAGACATGTTGGTCTCTGCAGTAACCCCCAAGATGTTCAACTGACTCTGTAATGTGACAGCACTTCCAGATAGCATGATGTTTGGCTCACCGGTACTGGTCTTTTTTGAAAACAGAGCTGCTTGGGTTTTCTGCGCGTTGAACTGTACAAGGTTTTTGTTACCCCAGTCCTCTATTATCTCCAAGTCGTTATTTATCTGCGATATTTGAGTTAGTCTAAGATGATGGAATTCACGTGCGGAAAGACCTGTGGGTGGTATGAGTGAGGAGACTACATTGCCATCGTCTGCAAAGCAATAAAGTGGATTTACTGTTTTATCTATGAGGTCATTTATGTAAATCAGGAAAAGAGTTGGCGAAAGGATTGCTCCCTGTGACACACCAGCATTTATTTGGTAAGAGTTGGAGTTCTGGCCATCCAGTGCAACATAAATGGATCTGTCCTTTAGGTAACTTTCAAACCAAGTGCAAAGTTTCGGCGATAATCCCATTGCTTTGAGCTTGTTGAGCAGATTTTCATGCCAAACTTTGTCGAATGCTTTAGATATATCTAAGGCAATTGTTCTTGTTTCACCCCGCAACTCAATCGCTTTTTGCCATAAGTGAGTGACGTATGTAAGTAAATCGCCAGTTGACCTATATTTTCGAAATCCGTATTGCTTATCGTTGATAATTTTGTACTTTTCCAAGTACTTGGTTAGGTGATTGTTCACAACTCTTTCCATTACTTTTGATATCACCGGAAGTAGAGCAATTGGTCTATAGTTTAACGGATCTGTCTTTTTTCCTTTCTTTGGAATGGGTTGTACTGCGGCAGACTTCCATGATGATGGATATACTCCTTGTCTGTAAGACAAATTGAATAATTTTGCGAAAGTTGGGGTGAGTTCGTTGGCGCAATTTTTGAGTACTATTGCGGGAATGCCATCCGGACCCATTGCTTTGTTTGTATCCAGCTTTTTTAGGGATTTTCGTATTTCTCTGTGACAAAAGGGTACCTCTGGCATACTATGGGAAACCCTTCCAATGAACGGTGGAGTTTTTCCGTTTGGCACTGTTAGGTTGGAGTTGGAGGAAAACATTTGGGCAAGCATATTGGCTTTTTCCTCTGATGTTGTCGCTAAGTGATTATTTTTATCTTTAAGTGGTGGTATGGATGACTTGGTGAAGTTAGATCCAACAGCTTTTGCAAGAGACCAAAAAGACCTAGAACTACTTGGACAATTCAGCAACCTGTTTTTTATTCTTTGATTGTATGTTTCTTTAGCGGAGTCAATAGTAATTTTGCAACTATTTCTGGCTTCTATAAATTCTGTGTGGTTTTGAGCGGTTTGTTGTCCTTTCCAAAGGTTATATGCTCTGTGTTTTTTCTGTATAGCCGTTTGACACTGGCTGTTGAACCAAGGTTTTGCATTAGCTCTACGTTTAGTTGTATGTGGGATATATGCGTCCATTCCAGATAAGATTACTTGTGTTATTTCATTACAGCAAATAGTGGGATCAGCTGTTTCAAAGCAAACCTCTTGCCATGGAAAATCCAGGTAATACTGTTTTAGGTCATTCCATTTTGCCGATTTATAGTGCCATATTTTACGAGGAAGTGGTTGTAGGCTTGGTGGGATGAGCATTTCGCACTTTGTTATTATAAGTTTATGATCGGACGAACCAAGTGGAGCATCTACTTGAATTGTGTACGAGTCAGGATTGGTGGTTAGGAACAAGTCTAAAAGCGCTGCAAATTCGCCCCTTTCTGAGATACGGGTAGGTTCATCGACAAGCTGCGTTAGACCACAACTTATGGCAAAAGCTTCTGCTTCTCTGCCTTCGTTATCTGTTTTGTTGTGGTGTTTCAGCCAGGGTATATTGTGGACGTTGACATCGCCTAAAAAGACAATTTCCGCCTGTGGATAGTTTGACTGTATACTATCACAGCTTTCGGATAATGTCGCGAAAAAGTTTTGGTAATCGGTGTTACTTGGCGGTCGGTAGAGGCAGCAGATAAACTTGGTCGATGACTTTGAGGTGAATTTTAGCCATATGATATCAAGATTCGCTGGTTCTAACTTCTCCTCTCGATGACATGAAAGGTCATTTTTAATGTACACACAGATCCCAAAATTATGTCGAAATCGGTGGTGTAGGTCATAGCCGGGATAAAGATAGTTCACAATAGGTGTTGCAGAACTGATTTTAGTTTCAGTGAGAACAAGGATGTCAGGTCTTTGTTCTTCAAGATGTTGGTGAACTGAATTCATATTTGTA